ATACATACGAAAAATCACTTTCGCAAACAGAGTGGTTGACGGTTGGAACAAGTTAGGCAAGATAATGATGGAGGCCAAGACCGTCAGTAGTTTCAAAGCGTTATATGACAGAGTGCTGGAAGACGGGACACCACGAATGTAGCTCTCATCCTGTAACTACACTAAGGTAATTACATACAGGGGGCCTGATAGCTGAGTGGAAAGTGCTCTGGGTTCGTAATCTTAGGATCCGGGGTTCGATCCCTGGTGATGGCAGAAACCGAAACGCTTTGCGTAATAGTGGCTTTAGACATTGTATGCACTGTATTAGCTCTATCTATAAATCCATCAACTTTTGTATCTCACCTTGTATGTATATACTTTACCTGAATAAATATTTGTATTTGTTGTATTTGTAAACAAAATGGGCAGAGTTTCTTTCACCCAGATGCTCCTGTTCACCTAGCAGTAAATAAGTACCTGGGAGTTAGATAGCTGTTATGGGCTGCTTCCTGGGGGGGGGGGAATTGTTAGTAGTAGTTAGTAACAGTTGATGATTGACAGTTGAGAGGTAGGCCGAAAGAGCAGAGCTCAACCTCCACGAGCACAACTAGGTGAATGCACGTACATACATATATACATACATACATACATACATACATACATACATACATACATACATACATACATACATACATACATACAAAATATAAAAGTTTAAAATGTAAAAATGTACATAAAATTCTAGGCTTTCTTATAAAATTAGAAGAAAAATAATAAAAACTTGCCCCGGTGTTTATAACAAAGCTCAAAAGAATATGCACCCGACTCTTGGTACACAATTTTCTATATTGTGCAGTGTATATCATGAAAATTGTGAATAATTTACAGTAACATGAATCCATAAATAATAGATCAATTTCTAATTTTCTATCCGGGCATCCATTCAATCCCTAACAAACTGAGATACCAACTGAACTAACTCACACTTTTAGATGGTAAAGCACACACACAAATACTGAATATGATCCTTTGGTTTCCTACAATCTTTAAAAGAGCTAAAGAGAATATAACTCAGAAGCCAAAATCTCCACTGGAGGAAAGAGAGGATTAATACAATAACATATGCTTTAACAACCCTTAAATACAACAGCAACATAAACTCACTCCTCCCAAACAAGTGAAAGAGTTGAAAAACAAAGCAATGCATCCTCTTTCTGTGTCTTGTTTACTTATTTATGTTTACACACTTTTTCACACCTATTTACCATATCTGAAAAATGTATAGCCTTAGGCTCACAATGAGCTTATATAAACTAGAGCAAATGCAACCCATGGCAAAGATAATTACTGCTGTTGGGGACAGGAAGCCTGTGTATGTACTGTATGTACTTTAGGCTTGAATTGAGATCTCCCCCCCCCCAACCTTGGTTGAACTACTGACCTTCCCCAGGATGCAACTCCATAACAGTTGCCTAACTCCCTGGTACCTATTTACCACTCCGTGAACAGATGCTTTAAGTGAAAGGAAACATGCCCAACAATTTCTGTCCAGCTCGGGAATCAGACCCCAGATTCTCAGTTATGAGTCAAGAATGAAGTCAACAGTACTACAGGACCCTACACACTGTACAAGACCCTGTTATGTCAGGTTAGCTTCAGGTTAAATGGACCAAGTTGTCACATGAAATCTGGCTTAAATGTTTAACTGTCAAAAGCTGCATACTACAATAATGATATAAATTGAGCTTTAGTGGCAATGACTAATTTTCAAAGAATGGCAATTGATAATATACATGGATGTGCATATTCACTGCAATTATTTGCCAATTTATAGCACTTGAGAGCAAGGAGAGAGACTGACACCCGTAGTCAATGCAAATTGCAGCACTGTATATTTACTGTAGCTTTGTTCTTACTTTTATTAACTTACAACTTTTCATCCAAGACACCTGATTAGTTATCATAATGCTTGCATGTGTCAACCTCGTGTTCAGTCCTACCACATATATGCTATATACATTCAGAAAAGCTAACCAAATCCTTGAAACAATCAAGCTTACTTTTGATTTTAAGGAAAAGAAGGTAATGATTCAGCTGTATAATCTCTGGTGCACTCTCATTTTGATTACTGTATCCAAGTATGAAGACCTCATTTTCAGGACATAGCTGCTCTGGAAAAAGTGCAACACCGGGCAACAAGTCATTCCAGAGCTAAGACATCTTTCATATCAGGAACAGTTGAAGGCCACAGGGCTAACAACACTGCAAACCAGGCATGACAGGGTGGATCTCACTGAAACTTTGAAAATACTGAACAAATTGGAGGATGTTGATCCAGACAATTTCTTCAAAAAGTCAGATATAATACAAACAAGGAGCAACAATTTTAAGCTCAACAAACCAAAATGTAGGACTGAGAATAGGCAGTGCTTTTTCACCCGCAGGGTTATAAACCCATGGAACTGCCTACCCACCTATGCCATAAATGCCAAAACTGTGTTAAGTTTTAAAATCTATCTGGAAAAGATCAAGGCAAATGGTGGGACCTTTGACAAGCTGCCAACTGTCTGAACTTGTTGAGGCCACTAGGGTTAGTGGCCCCTCGAGTAAATCAGGTAAATAATCTTGAGCTATCAAATAGTTCCAATATTAAGTGTTATTAGATGAAAGCTCTTGGATGAATTTGAAGAAAGTGCAATAGTGCAAACTGGAACTAGCAGATCCATTGTTTATCATAATGAGATGTATCAAACAAAACATGTGTATGGAACAAGTAACAAAATCAGTACACTAAAGACGTTGTCACAGCTCGAATACGACTTGGCTACACGTACTGTTTCTCTAGCAGTTCGGCTTGTATAGGAATGCAGATGAAGTCAAGTGTAAAGTGTGTGGACAAAGACTGGGACACACTAAAGCATTACATCTTAGACTGTGACAAAATTTAACCATTTAGAGATACAGTGGAGCCTCGATTAACGAATTTAATCCGTTCCGGCACTGAGCTTGTCTTGAGAAACGTTCGTCTTGCGAAACGAATTTCCCCATTTAAAATAATGGAAATAAAATTAATCCGTTCAACCCCAAAAAAACATCAGTATGACATTTTATAATATAATACATGTAATTATTATAAATGTTGTATTTTACAGTTTTCCTTTGAACTTGAAAAGTACAATTGAATTTGTCCGAGAATTTGCGAGATCCGCACCACGTGGTTTATCGAGCGGAAACTCGTCAATCGAGACATTGTCCACGAATGACTCGCTCGTCACCTGAAACGTTCATAGATGGAGACGCTCGTCGCTCGAGGTTCCACTGTAAATCTAAACTTAAACAGCATGAAATGTTAAATCATCTTATTACAAATTATAATATACAGTACAGTATCTGAAATCCTTGCACTGTATCTATATTTCATTTCTAGTAGATAAATGGCATGCAGTACAGTATATGAGATTATGAATAGGCTGTGTAATGTGAAGACACAATAAATAGCTCTTCTATGATCCTGTAATATCCCCATCTAAATATTTTATGTACGTATTAGCAAAAGATCTACTATCAATGTATAATACAGTAATTCATGTTGACCAAGCCACACACTAGAAAGTGAAGGGACGACGTTTTGGTCCGTCCTAGACCATTCTCAAGTCGATTGTGAGAGACCATTCCACAATCGACTTGAGAATGGTCCAGAACGGACTGAAACATCGTCATCCCTTCACTTTCTAGTGTGTGGTTTGGTCAACATATTTCAGCCTCGTTATTGTGACTCCTCGTCTGCATATAATAATTCATGTATATACATAGATATTGTAATGATTTTTTGGGTAACTAGCTGATATTATCATTATAAAATATGCAGGTTAGATGAAATTGTTAATGTAAAATCTTCGCTGAGGTCCAATTAAAACCTTTTATGCCTTCTGCAATCCTTTTGTGCTACTGCTCACAGGATGGGTATGGGGTGCACAATAAACTAGCTGCTTCCAATGGCAACAATCAAATCAACAGTTGCCTAATTTTTGGGTACCTATTTTCTGCTAGTTAAACAGAGGCATTAGGTGAAAGGAAATGTGCCCAACAATTTCTGTCCTGCCTGGGATTCAAACCTTGGATTCCCAAGTGTGAGTTGAGAACTAATGCAATTTGTTGCCTGTTCTGATGTCCACACCATGGCTACACTTAGAATAATTTTCAAGCAAATAACCTTAACAACACAAAATTACTTGCAAACAAGTAACTTTTTTGTCTTAAGTAAATCACTTATCCAGCTCTCTAATACATATCTAATATCTGATATCTAACATCTAATCATAAGGAAAAGCAGTGAATCTGATTTCAATGAGGTTCAGTCATTTTATACTCCAAAGGTTTGCATTCTGGCAATTTAAGTCCGTAAAGTAAAATTTTAAAACATGCACATTTTATATTTTGTAACTATTGTATTTTATTTACTGGCATTAATTAGTCGGCACTCGGAGTTCCATCGCCACGCACGACGGAGATGTTCGGGAACATTGTCTCTCGCCCTGATGGCTCTGTAAACCTAGCAGTAAATGGGTACTTTGGGAGTTTGTCAAGTGTTGTGGGATGTATCTTGGGACAGGTCAGTGCTTGGCCCCAGGGGACACTTCCACACACACACACACACACACACATGCTCAACATGCTTCCACTCGACAACACTGGGTTCACCACACAGTTCTCACATTCATAAAGTACATCACAAGTGTGTTTAGGTTTAAAAATATGTATGCAGTGGCCACACAAGGCAGTTGTGTCACATAGTCCTCATGCGTGCCAAGGTCTGGGGTTACACCTGACAATCCTTATGTGAATCAACTCCTACACACAGACCTTTTGTCCACCCCACTTGTCCATTGTCTAGTTCACACTACAATTCGCACTAAACTTGTCAAACATTTAACAACAGAGGTGTAAGATGATGTAAAGATTACACTAGCAAGGTAATATTACGTGTCTCCAAACCAAGTAGCCAACATTACACTCACAGTTACACTCACTAAACTCTTAAGGCTGTCTACCAAGGAACAGCTGGACTCAGCGGCCTTTATCGTCTCCAGCACAACACTCAAGCTATTCACTGACACAAAATAAACTCAAGTAATTTCATAGATATCAATTATTGCCACAAATCAAGGTTATGAGACTCTAAGAACAAAGAAAGCTAACATTAACAATAACCATTAAGGAAACCCAAGCGGCGACGACTGTTGGCGTGTTGATATTGGTGTTGGGCCGGCAAACACATCCAGCCAACACCAACACCAGCAAACACTTCCAGCGAACACTTCTAGCGAACACTTCCAGTGAACACGAATGGCAATTTTTTTTTTTTTTTTTTTTTTTTACCAAATTTACCTGTGGACTGTTATCTCTCTAGCGGCCTCGACGGAGACAGGAAGCTTCAAAGTTCCAGCACTGTTCCTGTGGACTTCTTCCAAATGGCTCCTGCGGCTAAGGAGTTATCTGTCGTACATGTAAGCATGGACCTGACATGCTGAGTAGACAGCGTTCGGGGTTCGTAGTCCTGAAGGTCCGGATTCGATTCCCGGCGGAGGCGGAAAGAAATGGGGAGAGTTTCTTTCACCCCCTGATGTACCTGTTCATCAAACAGTAAATAGGTACCTGGATGTCAGACAGCTCCTACGGGCTGCTTCCTGGGGATGTGAGTGTTTGTGTGTGTGAAAAAATTAGGATTAAGGACTTGCCTGAACGCGTTCGTGTGGCTGTACAAGAATGTAAGAACTCTTGTATATATAAATAAAATAACTAAATAAATAAATAAATAAATAAATAACAAATAAATAAAAAGTTACCACATCTTAATTGATACATTAAGTACACTCTGGCTTCCTGTCCCCCGACAGTACACTCTGGCTTCCTGTCCCCCGACAGTACACTCTGGCTTCCTGTCCCCCGACAGTACACTCTGGCTTCCTGTCCCCCGACAGTACACTCTGGCTTCCTGTCCCCCGACAGTACACTCTGGCTTCCTGTCCCCTGACAGTACACTCTGGCTTCCTGTCCCCCGACAATACACTCTGGCTTCCTGTCCCCCGACAGTACACTCTGGCTTCCTGTCCCCCGACAGTACACTCTGGCTTCCTGTCCCCCGACAGTACACTCTGGCTTCCTGTCCCCCGACAGTACACTCTGGCTTCCTGTCCCCCGACAGTACACTCTGGCTTCCTGTCCCCCGACAGTACACTCTGGCTTCCTGTCCCCCGACAGTACACTCTGGCTTCCTGTCCCCCGACAGTACACTCTGGCTTCCTGTCCCCCGACAGTACACTCTAGCTTCCTGTCCCCCGACAGTACACTCTGGCTTCCTGTCCCCCGACAGTTCCTGTCCCCAGACAGTACACTCTGGCTTCCTGTCCCCCGACAGTACACTCTACAGTACACTCTGGCTTCCTGTCCCCCGACAGTACACTCTGGCTTCCTGTCCCCCGACAGTACACTCTGGCTTCCTGTCCCCCGACAGTACACTCTGGCTTCCTGTCCCCCGACAGTACACTCTAGCTTCCTGTCCCCCGACAGTACACTCTGGCTTCCTGTCCCCTGACAATACACTCTGGCTTCCTGTCCCCCGACAGTACACTCTGGCTTCCTGTCCCCTGACAGTACACTCTGGCTTCCTGTCCCCCGACAGTACACTCTAGCTTCCTGTCCCCCGACAGTACACTCTGGCTTCCTGTCCCCTGACAATACACTCTGGCTTCCTGTCCCCCGACAGTACACTCTAGCTTCCTGTCCCCCGACAGTACACTCTGGCTTCCTGTCCCCCGACAGTACACTCTAGCTTCCTGTCTCTGGCTTCCTGTCCCCCGACAGTACACTCTGGCTTCCTGTCCCCCGACAGTACACTCTGGCTTCCTGTCCCCCGACAGTACACTCTGGCTTCCTGTCCCCCGACAGTACACTCTAGAAGCTTCCTGTCCCCAGACAGTACACTCTAGTAGCTTCCTGTCCCCTGACAGTACACTCTGGCTTCCTGTCCCCCGACAGTACACTCTGGCTTCCTGTCCCCCGACAGTACACTCTGGCTTCCTGTCCCCCGACAGTACACTCTAGCTTCCTGTCCCCCCGACAGTACACTCTGGCTTCCTGTCCCCTGACAATACACTCTGGTTTCCTGTCCCCCCGACAGTACACTCTAGTAGCTTCCTGTCCCCTGACAGTACACTCTGGCTTCCTGCCCCCCGACAGTACACTCTGGCTTCCTGTCCCCCGACAGTACACTCTGGCTTCCTGTCCCCCGACAGTACACTCTAGCTTCCTGTCCCCCCGACAGTACACTCTGGCTTCCTGTCCCCCGACAGTACACTCTAGCTTCCTGTCCCCCCGACAGTACACTCTGGCTTCCTGTCCCCTGACAATACACTCTGGTTTCCTGTCCCCTGACACAATAAATTATTAATTGTAAAGGATTCTTTATCATCCTTAACTGCGCTCAACTCTTCAAGACAGTTGTAACATGCTCATATCTGAAGCTAGACACAAACGAATAGAGCAAATTGATGCTCTATTTGTTAGAGCAAACTTATAATTTGTTGGTAACAGTATAATTCATGTGAATTCTGTAACATATGCTTACGTTTACGATAAGACACAAAGAATTTAGTGATTTCTTATATTTATTTAGTACAATAATAATAATAATAATAATAATAATAATAATAATAATAATAATAATAATAATAATATAATAATAATAATAATAATAATAATTTATTTGCAAGAAGGTATAATGGGTCGGTGAGATTACATAAGATTACATAAGGTTACAAAGCCACTAACAAGCATAGCGTTTCGGGCAGGTCCTTAATCTAACATACCAGGCAAGAGGAAAAGGTACAGTGTAGCAAGGTTTTATATTAACAAATAACTACAATATAAGTTGACAGAGGTGATTACACCGGTAAGGTGGATGTACACTATTATACTCTTAGAGAGAATATTGGCATAGTAGCATTTCAGGAAACTGGGGATAGGGATGGTAGCATTCTGAGGCTAAATGGCTATAGAGGTTTTCACTTATATGCTGATGAAGGAACTAGGGGGGGGGGTCTCATGTTATGTCAAAAGTACCATACCTGCCGAGATAATTGGAATCTCTCAGTGATATAGAGGTATCGAAAGTATTAGCTTGCGAATACAATTACAAGTTCGAGAGTTAAATTTCATTAATCTATACATCTCTGATAGCTCCCTTGATTTAAGATAAAGATTGATTGATGAAGATTAAGCCACCCAAAAGGTGGCACGGGCATGAATAGCCCGTAAGTGGTGGCCCTTTTAAGCCATTACCAGTATCAAGAGCTGATACTGGAGATCTGTGGAGGTGCGAATGCACCCTGCATGACGGGAGATGTCTCCCTTATGAATGTGTTAAGATGAAGATGAAGCCACCCAAAAGGTGGCACGGGCATAAATAGCCCGTAAGTGGTGGCCATTTTAAGCCGTTACCAGTATCAAGAGCTGATACTGGAGATCTGTGGAGGTGCGAATGCACCCTGCATGATGGGAGATGTCTCCCTTGTGAACGTGTTAAGATGAAGATGAAGCCGCCCAAAAGGTGGCACGGGCATGAATAGCTCGTAAGTGGTGGCCCTTTTGAGCCATCACCAGTATCAATAGATGATACTGGAGACCTGTGGAGGTGCGACTGCACCCTGCGTGACGGGAGATGTCTCCCGGACCAAATGGTGACCAGATGGACAATTTAAGATACTTGCCAGATTCCTTCTTTTCTGAAGATACACTTGTGGTAAGGGATTTTAATGCCAGACATCCAGCTTTAGGTTCAAGGGGTAAAGCAAATAGGAATGGTTGCAGATGGTACCAGCTTTTGCAGGAACATGATGTTCAACTGCTGGGCGAGCCCTCTCCTACTCATTTGAGGGGAGGGAGATTAGATTATGCTTGGTTGATAAATGCTAAAGGCATAGCGGGGAATTGTCTTACTGTGGATGAAATGCTGAGTGATCATTTTGCATTACAAATACAGCTTAAACTAGATAAAAAGAATGTCTGCCAGGTCATATTAAGTCTTGGTATGATACTTATAAGCCAGTTTCGGCAGAAGCATTTTATGAAGATCTAATTAAGGAGGTAAATGTATTTAATGCAACATTGAACCGGAAAACATATAGTATAAAAAAGGGGTGGACATTAACAATAAGGAGAGCTCACAGGAATTGGAATAGGAATGGTAGGACTGTGGAAGGGAAGAATACTTTACTGGTAGTTGCTAGGCTGTGTGGGGACAAGAGAAAGGAAATTAGGAGCAAGTATTGGCAGGAGTTTGCAGAGAAAGTTGGGAGTAACAGAAACTTGAAGGAAATCTGGCAAGACGTAAATAAAGTAAGTGGTAAAAAGTATAATTTTGTTGCACATCCTGATCCGCAAAGGAATTGCAAATGGTCTCGTAAATAAATGGGCGGAAGCTGCCAAACTTATTTCATTACCCGCTGAAACAAGAGAGTCATTAAATTCTTGGAAAGATTGGCGATGATTGATTAAGATTAAACCACCCAAAAGGTGGCACGGGCATGAATAGCCCGTAAGTGGTGGCCCTTTGGAGTCCTTACCAGTATCATTAGCTGATACTGAACATCTGTGGTGCGACTGCACCCTGCGTGACGGAAGATGTCTCCCGTGTCTTGGAAAGATCTAAGAAAGGATTTTATACTTACAGCAGGTAACAGTGGTGATGTCACTTGCACAGATATTACCAGAGAAGAACTAATAACGGCGATTAAAGTTGGGAAATCTACCGCCCCTGGGGAGGATGGAGTAACTTATGAAATACTTAATGAACTTGCCATTATGACGAAAAGCCCACTGTTAGACCTTATTTCAAAAACATGAGAGGCTTGCTTTTACTCATTGTAGTTCATATATATGTACACTGAATGAGTTGCTCCCGGACGCAGGTGCGAATCCTCGTCACGGCCCTTGTGGATTTGTTCACTGAATGAGTGTTTTGATTTGTTATATGCTATAGTAGGGTGTGGGAGGCATGTTTTTGAGTGACTGTGAGATGTGCATATATATTTATGCACGTGTATGCGAACAATCCTGAACGGTCTCCAGGCCAGATATATGCAAC